ATAATTCCATGAAATCTAATACTCAATAGTCACAAAAGATCTTTAACGAATCACTTTAATTGACTAATATCTTTTAAATAATAGCACCACATATTTCAATGTACAATGTGTGGCCCCATATATATTGAAAATATCCAACATGACCAACTAGATTAAACACTTGGCATTCAAACTGTTTTATAATTATGCATGTACTTTAGTTTTGATATCTCAAACCTCAGCCAGAGCATTCCAATGTCTAAGAAGTAGACTTAATATATTTTGAGACAAGAGTTAACTATGTTGAAAGATTAAGTACAAAGCAAAATAGCCATGAAAGAAAGAGCAAATATTTATCATTATAGGTAACAAATACTGCAAAGCAATTTGAAAACTCGCAAAATCTCGAACATGCCTGAGCAGGGTAACTAATATATTTCAATGCTTCAATTCCCATCGTCGGGCCACTTGTATTTGTAATACCGGCACTCCAATAACTCCACCAAGGAGCACCATCACCACTATTGGACCAAATCTTTATCACTGCACAATTATAACATTGAAACTATAAGCATACATTTCAAGACCAAAATAAGTGAATAACAAATGAGTACCTCAAAGACGTACTTATAAATGACCAAATCAAACAGAATACATTTTGTGCTACATTCAAGAATGCTAAGTGCTCGAACCTCTTCTTGCTGGGACCAAATCTCTCTGTCGACCTAAATTAAACTCAACCCACAGATTTAAAATTAATTAGCGTACATTGTCAATAGTTAATTAAAATGCAAAAAAAAAAACCATATCCACACCGACAAAACAAATCTAACAAGAACATTATAAGATAGCTAGAGATGAAAGCACAAATTAATATCATAAAGCAATAAAAATAAAGATTTTATTTTTCAAAATCTTCATATTTTTCCCAAAAAATAATTTCCCAACAATTAAATCAATTAAGAGAAGAAAAGATACATAAATTAGAGTCCCAATGAAATTAATCAATATCATAATATTTCGAGAATGTAAAAAACAAATGATAATGAGAATAGTTGGCTTGAAGACTAAGAGGGAATGAAGCAGAAGAAGGAGAATTGTATTGAATTTTCATTGTGTTACAATTGTATAAAATGGCCGTTGTATATATAAAACACTATAGGTCATTCTAGAAGAAAAATACATACAATATATACATAACAGAATATACAACTAATTCCTAACTAATACGGAGTTTCTCTTCCTCCTCTTCTAGACAATTCCGATTGTGTTGCTGCTGAGTTGTTCTCACTTGCTGATGTGTCTTCAATGGCTGATTGTGTTGCTGAGTCCTCAGCTGCTTGACGATTCTTCAACTTGATAGCCTTGTCAACTTCCAATAGCCCCCCGCAAGATGGGGGAATATATGTCCATTAGTCCCATCTTGAACATGCACAAGTAAAAACTTTGAGAATTTAAGGATTTGGTTAGAATATCTACAATTTGCAACCTGCTGGGAACATGCTTAGTGATAATGTATCCATCTTGAATTTTGTCACGAATTAAATGACAATCGAGCTCTATATGTTTAGTCCTCTCGTGAAAGACCGGGTTTGTAGCTATGTGGATAGCTGACATGTTGTCACAGTACAAGAAAGCAGCCTGGGGATAAGCTATCTTAAGATCTTCAAATAAGTATCTGAGCCATGTCAACTCGCAATACAAACTAGCCATAGCTCTGTATTCTGCTTCTTAAGATGCCTGGAAACAACATGTTGCTTCTTTGATTTTCAAGACACCAAAGACTTTACAATTAGCACACAATACCCCGTTACTGATCGTTTGTTATTAGGACAGGCTCCCTAATCCGAATCGCTATATCCATGCAACTCCAACATTGAATATGTCGGGTAGAATACTCCTTGATCTGGAGACCTTTTGATATATCTCAAAACTTTGTGAGCCACGTGCAAATGTGGAACTCGGGGGCTCTCCATAAATTGACTCAACAGCTGAACTAATTAAGAAACATTAGGTCTGGTTATTGTTAGATACAATAATCTTCCAACCAATCTTCTATAAGTGCCGGTTCTGGAAGTAGGTCTCCCTGATCTTTCATCAACTTCATAGTTTGGTCTAATGGTATCTTTGTAGGTGCTGAACCAATCGTTCATGAATCACTTAAAATATCAAGAACATACTTTCTTTGGCATATACAAATGCCTTCTGCAGACCTGGCCACTTCTATGCCAAGGAAGTATTTTAATTTACCAAGATCCTTGATTCAAAACTTGTCAAAAGAAGCTTTGAGGTGGTTAATCATATCAGTGCAATTTTCAGCCACAATTATATCATCAACATACACTAGGATAGCAATGAAGGAAGCACCATTGCTCTTAGTAAATAAACTGTAATCTGCCATTGGCGTGATGGTTGCTTCAAACCATACAAGCTCCTTTTGAGCTTGCAAACTTTTTGCTTGGTGTTATTCTCATAATAACCAGGAGGAACTTCCATATACACCTCTTCTTCCATGTAAGAAGGCGTTATTAACATCAAATTGAAAAAGATGTCATCCTCTTATGGCTGCTACTACCAACAAAGTTCTGACCGTGACGAGTTTGGCAGCATGTGAGAAAGCCTCATGATAATCAAATCATTCTTATTGTGTATACCCTTTGGCAACAAGCTTTGCTTTGAACCTTTCTATGCTACCATCAGCGTTGAATTTGACCTTGTATACCCATCTACAACCTATTGCTTCCTTTCCAAGAGGCAGGTCAACCAAATCCCAAGTGTCAATGAGCTCAAGGGCATCAATCTCAGCCTTCATGGCTGCATACCAGTCAGAGGAATTTTCAGCCTCTTGTTAGTTTCTAGGTTCAGAATGAGTGGTGACAGAGGTGACAAAGGCTTTATGTGAATTTGACAACTTATCATAAGTAATAGAAGCATTGAGAGGATAATGATTACCTAAAAGACTTTGTCCTTTCAGCTTGTTCAACTCTTGAGATGAGTGACGTGTGGTAGCTTGATGACATATGAAATCCCGAAGATGTACATTCCTGGAAACAAATATTTTCTTAGTTTCAAGGTCTAAAAGAGTATATCCCTTGATCCCAAAGGGATAGCCTATGACACACATTTTTTGGCTCTAAGATCAAATTTATGTCTTCCATTGATAATAGTGGTAGCAAAAGCTAATCAACCAAAAACTTTGAAATGATCATATGATGGCTTCTTGTTGAACAAAATCTGACAAGGACTTTTGCTTTTCAATATGGATGAGGGAATCCTATTTATGAGATATATGGCAGTTAAAACACAATGGTTCCAATATTTCAGTGGAATCGCACTTTGAATTTTATTGCCTTGGCTGTATTAAGAATATGTTGGTGTTTTCTCTCAACAATAGCATTTTGTTTGGGTGTTTCAACACAAGTTTTGTGGTGTATAATGCCATTTTTAAGATAAAATTCCTTCATGTTAAACTCTCCACCATTATTTATTCTAATTATTTTAACTCTGGCTTCAAATTGTGTTTCAACCATAGTACAAAAGTTTTGAAGGGCATTGGTGGCATCATATTTTAATTTTAAAGTGTATGCCCAAGTACATCTACTAAAATCATTCACAATGGTTAAACAATATTTAGAACCATCACTCCCAATATCATTGCAAGGACCCCAAATGTCATAGTGTATCAATTCAAAACACTTCTTAGTTTTGTGTGTGCTTATAGGAAAGGGTAGCTTGTGTAACTTAGACAAGGGACCTATAGGACATACTTTATTATTGAATGACTTTGAAAATTGAACATCACCATCAACACTATTGATAGAATAATAATTGTGTCCTAATCTGTAATTCCAAACATCAAAGTTTCGTATACTAGAGGCTACTGAAGCTGAGATATGACTGGAGATCTGATTGTGTAGTTTGTTCAAATAGTTTCATAAGGCTGAAGGGGAAACATCTTTAAGCTTCATATGGTATAGCATATCCTTCATTTCATCCATGCAAATTGTTTCCAAGCTGAAAGGTCCTGGATATAGAAATAATGAGAAAAGAAAATCAGGCAACATTTGAGCATCTGTGTTAATTTCTTAGCAGAGACTAAATTAAAAGAAAAACTAGGTATACAGAGAGCATCTTGGAGTATCAAGGTGTCTGTGACATTCACTGTCCCTATGTGAGTAACAGGGACCGTGTTACCATTTGGTAGCATGATGGAGTAAGCAACTTCAGTGGGGATAGATGAAAAAAAATGAAGTGGAGCAGATCATATGATCGTTGCTCCAATATCAAGTATCCAGGGAACATCGAATGTGTTAGAAGGTTTTGATTTCACAACAGACATGCATAGAGATATACCAGAGAGTTGATGAATGTTTTCATCAGTTGAGGTAAAACTAATAACACTTTGGATTTGATTTTTTGAAATAGTGACTGGCTTTAGGAGGGCCATGAGTAGTGAAATCTGCTATTGGCTTAAGGACACTTGAGACTTGCTATTTCCAACCTGGTGTGCGGGTGCAGGAGACAGAGATGCAACATCTTGATTTTCAAATGCCTTTTCTTTTCCACTGAATTTGTGGCCTGGGGGATAACCATGGAGTTTAAAACATTTGTCCACTTGATGCCCAGGAACTTGACAATATGTGCAAACAGGTTTGTTTGATCTGCTTTGAAGCATATGTCAATCTAATGCCCTGCAATCTTACAAAAGGTGCAATAGTATATGGCTTTCTTCTGTGCATAATTGCTATGTCTTCCTTTCTCTTTAAACTTTGCTTTGCAAGGAGTGCCATAGACTCATACGAAGATCCTTTTTGTCGATATTTCCCTTCTTTTCTCCTCCTGTTGTACCAATTAATAGACTTCATTTAGGCTGGTAAGAGGTTTGATCAACAGAATTTGTACCTTAATCCCTTATATAAATCATTCAAGCCCATCAAAAATTTCATAACCCAGTCCCTTTGTTGATTCTAAACCATGACTCTTAAACCCCTACAACTACAACTAGGCTCGACTTCACAATTCATTAGCTCATCCAGAAGAGCTTTGAACTTTGAAAGATAGACACTCACTGGGTCTTGATTTTGCAGCAACACAGTTATAGCCTGTTTGATTTCAAAAATTTGAGGTGCATTTTGTTGAGCAAAATGTTGTTCCAACTTGATCCATAACTGGTGTGTTGTCTCAGCATATGTGGTGCTACACTTGATGTCAACTTCCATGGTGTACTGTATCTAGGTAATCACCAGGTCATTGCAATGCAGCCAGTGCTCCATGAGTAGATCATTTAAGTCTGCGGGCTCACTTAAACTATCATAAATGAATCTTAACTTGTTTTTGATGCGTAATGCTCTTTTGATTGATCGAGCCCATGAGTGATAGTTATTAGCATCCAAAATATGGGTGACAAGCATGGCTTCAGTATTATCATTGCTCCCAATGAAATACAGATTGTTTGGCTGGGCAGGGTCATGATTTGCAATACTGGATGAGTTACCAGTTTGATTAATGTTTGGGTTTTAGATTTGGATTTGATCTGTGTTTGTATTTTCAGGGTTGAATTCTTCCAAACTTGTCTCTGATACCATTTTGAGAATGTAAAAAACAAATGATAATGAGAATAATCGGGTTGAAGACTAAAAGGGAATGCAGCAGAAGAAGGAGAATTGTATTGAATTTTCACCGTGTTACAATTGTATAAAATGGCCGTATATATAAAATACTATAAGCCATTCTAGAAGAAAAATACATACAATATATACATAACAGAATATGCAACTAATTGCTAACTAATACAAAGTTTCTCTTCCTCATATTCTAAACAATTATGATTATGTTGCTGCTGAGTTGTTCTCACTTGCTGATGTGTCTTCAATGGTTGACTGTGTTGCTGAGTCCTTAGCTGCTAGACGATTCTTCAACTTAATAGTCTTGTCAACTTCCAATATTAAACAAATAAATGAAACTTTAAATATTAATTTACAATACCTTACATGGTCTCTTGGAAGAAGCCTTGGTAAATGTAAGCCGACCAAATGCCAGCCGCACAAACGGATAGGAAAGAAACGCTACGAATTCCAAACCATGAGACACCATTGCAATGTAAATCCGCCGGAAACCACCAGATCGCCTCAGTAAAATGTAACCTTAAATGGATCGTTGGTTGTGGGTATTTTGTGGATTGTAGGTTGGAATTGGATGGACTCTTAGAAATTTGTATATAATCATATTAACAACTTTTAGTAAATTGCAAAAGGTTAGCCTATTAATAAAATGTTGCCAATTCTTTATTTTGTTAACCAATGACAACATTTACTTATGTGAATGTTGCAATAGACACCTTTAGCAACACTATATTACCAAATGTTCCCTTTTATGTGTTGCAAAAGATCATTTTTGTTGTAGTGGGATTTAACTCCTGCCATTAATGGTTGTAATGGTGGTGATAATAGTGCAGATCGTGGTGCTATGTTGATGTGGTGGTGCAAATGGTGATGGTGGTGGCACAACGCCGTAGATCTATGAGGTGGTGACAATGGTTTTGAATTTTTAATGGTGACAATGGGTTGGAACAGTGTGTGAAAGGATAGTGATGGCGATGGTGGTACCAAAGGCATTGACGAAAATAGAAGGTAAAATATAATGTCCAAGAATTTTGTTGTAAACTTTCGATGTGGGATAAAAATCCTTTTGATTTTGCTGTAACGCGTTATACCTTTGGTTTGGCCATAAATGTATTGTACATTTGGTTTGATTGTAGTATATGTACCTTTTGTTTGGGTGTAGTCTCTGTTCTAAAAAGCGCGCCTAGGCGTTGCCTAGGCAAGAAGCGTGATGAAAACACTTCCCATTTAGCCTAAGCAGGAATTAAGCGGTCAACGTTGTCGTTGACCGAGTAATGCTCGCCTATTAGGGATGCCTAGGCTTACCTCCGCCTCAGTCCCAGATTTTAAGGGGCCCCAATTTTTTCATTTTTTTTTAAATAAAACCCACAGTCCAGACTCAGTAGCCCACTGTCCTTTCAAACTTCAAAGACTCCAAAGAATTGAGAAAATGGAAAAATGGGAAAAAAAAAAAAGGAAGAACGGCGCAAAACCTCTCAATTTCTCCACACACCGTACTGATTTGGGTATCATGTATGTATAACATTAGGAGCTCGTGAATGATGATTTTGTATCGGACGATACAAATGACGAATTAGATGAAGAAGAAGATATTGAATTGGAATCCGATAAAGAGTTAGATTAGATAAGATTTAAGCTACAAGTTATCTACGTTATATAATTATGATTTTGAAACTTATCTTTATGTAGGAGTTATTAAGTAAATACAATGTTTTATAATTTTAGATTTTTAGTATGTATTATTTGAATTGTTGAATCTTTTTACAATGATTAAAAATTTAAAATAAAATTTAAAATAAAAAACGTTTTTTTATGCCTAAGCTACACCTAGGCTCATAAAGCTTGAAACTTGGTCTTCACGCCTAGCCATGTTTTACACTTTTTAGAACACCGTGTAGTATATTATACCATTGTATAAATAATTATCTATATTTTATTAAGTTAATTAATCAATTTCTTATCTTTTACTAATGAATAAAAACTTAAAACTCTATAAATATTTCAATTAGCAGTATTATAATATATCTTTATTTATTGTTCAAAAATATATTTATTTTGTTACACTCTTAATACTGCCTTTGATACTATAATTTGTATGTATTATTAAATAATTTTTAAATTGATTAAGAATTTAAAATAATATTAACATGAGAATATTCCATTTTACGTCTAAGCCTCACCTAGACGCACATAGATCGAAGCTTGACCTCCTAGCATCGTCATGCATTGCGCTTTTAAGAACACTGATTTTTTCATAGCACAAATGGTTAAAAAGAATATATGACTAAAAATAAATATGAAAAAAAAAAAATTAAAACTTAATCTTATCATGGTTGATTATCTAACTATAAAAGGTACACACAATGGAGGCATATCTAACACCAAGAAAATAACAACTATCATCAAATTTGCGATTTAGGTTCCTCATGGTTCAAACTTCAACTATTTTGGTCCATTAAGTTCCAATTAAAATGAAAAAGGTCCTTCAGTGACCATTACTGAAGCTAGATGATACTTCAGTAACCGTTAGTGTAAGTTTTAAACTTTAGTAACCGTTTTGTGATTTTGACGTAACTTCAGTGACGTTTGTGAAATTAACCCAAAAATAAAATGGCTAAGCCAGCTTTCCCTTCAGCCTCAACCCACCCACACACACCTTTCCCCCTTATCTGGTCCTCAACTCTTTCAACCCGTTTCCAAGGAAGAAGGCGAACCAGACCTGCACTCTCGACAACAATGGCGGGAATTTGCGCTTTAAAATGCCCTTGTTTTCGTTCACCTTCTTCTCCCTCTTTTTCTTTCAATCTACTGCGAAGTATTTCTTACCGTGCCAGATTATCTAGTAATTCTTTTATCATCACTCTTTTCATTTCCAATCCCCCTACCCCACCTTCCTTTTTTTTTTTTTAATAAATGATGATTATCAATCATGAAAAAAATGTTGCTTTGTTATGTTTTCAGGAATATATGCGTTTTCTAGCAACGATATTAAAGTGGGCTCCAACATTGAAGTAGAGGGAACTCCTTGGAGGGTTATTGGTAATTCTTGCTAATTTTACCTACTAGTGTCCAGAGGTTTGGTTGTTGAATTGCTTATGAATAAAGATTAAATTTTTCACAATACTGATTTTCTGTTGACTTGTACAATATTATTCCTCTAGTTTATCTTGTTTTTCAATTTTGATATAAAAAATTCTTTTTGTGCGCCTTCTAGTTTGAGAATATTACTAAAATACACTAGCATTGTGAAATTCTTGAAGTTATCTGTGCCTTGTACAATAAACTTTGCATCTCAATTCTCAGAGATCAAAATAATGAAGAATTTTGGATAACTTCTATCCTTTGTGGGTTAGAATTTTTGATCAATTTGGGTTGTCGAATTGCCCGTTAAGTGTTTATAGTCTACTTTACTGATTTTCTTTCAACGTGTTCACTGTCATTCCTTCAGTTTCTTTTGTTTTAGATTTTAATTTAAGACGTTTTTCTGCTTCTAGTTTGAGTATATGACTGAACTGCACTAGCACTACAGAATCGTTAAATCAATGTGTCATTTAGTGCTGTTTATTAATATGTGTATCAGAGTTCTGAAAACAATGAAGAATTTTGGATAATTTTGAGTTCTGGACTTGAAATTGATTTGGTTTTTGCGCAATCTTTAGAGTTTCTCCATGTGAAACCTGGCAAAGGGGCAGCGTATGTGAGGACCACGCTACGCAATTACTTGACAGGAAATCAAGTCGACAAAACTTTCAGAGCTGGAAGTAAGGTAACACTCTGTAACTTTCGAATTTTCCCCTCTTCTTTCCTGATTATTTACAAAGAATTATGTCATGGATGGAGTAGAGCAGATCTAGTATAACATTTACGATACAAGTATTCCGTGCATTAGATAATTTTATTGTTATGGGGCAGATAGAAATGATCTGTAAGCCTTGTCATACGTAGTGGTGGAAAGTTTAAATGCATGGTGCATATTAGGTTGGTCAACATTTTGTGTGTTAAGTTGTAGAATATTTTTGCAAATGAAAATGACCATACACATTTTACAATTGTACTGGACATCTTGCCTCTGTGTTGAATTCTATCTATGAAAGTACAATCTTTTGTAATTCAGTATGAAATTAGATGGTTGATGGCCATGATGTCAAAACAAGACACCATTTGGTAATAGATCATGTTTTTTGCTGCTGGGGAGCCTCTACCATCTTTGTGATGTATTTTTCAACTGACGAATCTTGGTGCTTGACTAGTGGTAATATGAAAATGGAGTATATATGAACTTTATAATTTGGTGGATTCAGGTCAGCATGGTAATATGAGTTCAAAAAACTGTTTCTAATAGATTTAATACAGTGATCACTACAACACCTATCACTTCATGACCTATTAAATGGCAGGGACATATCGACAGGAATTTGATCTGATATTGAAATAAGCACAGCCTAATGATCATCTGACATTGTATGGGGCAGTCAATCTTTCTTCAATTGGGTTATAATAAGCATGATTTCAACTTCACTGTATGGGGCAGTCAATCTTTCTTGATCGGGTTATAATAAGCATAACTTCTACGTAACTGAGAAATCTTATTTCTCTTTATTTTATCCATGTTTAGTGTCTTTTTATTTATTTGGTTATGCTGCGCAGGTAAGATGCTTCACTGAGGTAACTGTAATATCCTAAAATTGTAATTTTTTATTTTTTTTCACGCGTCCAATCTTGAAAGAGTATATTTTTGTAATACTTTGGTCCAACTGTATTTACACTCTGCCAGTCCGATCCTTAATGCCATTCTCTGTGTTCTGCTCTTTCGACAGATTGAAGAGGCAGATATATTCAAAGAAACCAAACAATATACTTACAAAGACAGTTCCCAGTATGTCTTTATGGACTTGGTATACGATTTTCTGTTTTGATTTTCATGTGACGGCATCAATAGTAGATACTCTTTTCATATAACGTTACAAATTTATCTCTTGATTCCACTGCCGGATTATGAGCATGTTTGGGGTGGTTTATGCTTAAAAATAAGCACCAAATGTGTTGCTTACTTTTAGTGTGGATCCACCTACATTCAAATAAGCCACACATTTGGAGTTTATTTTTTAGCTTAAGCCATCCTAAACATGCTCTATTTTACACTGTTCAATGTTGGAAGGAGTAAAACACCGTTGAAGCTGGATATCTTTCTGTGACTCCAGTAGAATCAACTTTGGAAATTTAGACCAACATAAGGGCAGGTGTTTAAGCTTAGACATAGATTGCGAGTTCAAATTCTACCTTTATTTCATGTTCATTTAAATTTAAAAACTATTTTCATCTGTCATACTAAATATTATGATATTAATTAAGAGGCAAATAATTATCTCATATATTTGGTACTTTCCTGGTAATAACAGGTCTAGTGCTTCTACTGTTCAACAGTTCTTATACAGCATCGCAGTGGAGATTAGTAGCTTTCCTCCTGTCTTA